GGGCACCCAACGAACATGTGTCCTTCCTTGCAAGACGAACAAACTCAACAACTTAATGCAGTAGGAGGGTTCCCAAATCAAGTTCAACGAAAATATGATCCCTACTCCAACACCTATAGTCTTGGATGGAGAGATCATCCACACTTCAGTTATGGAAACTAAGGTGGATACCAAAGATCTCCACATGTCTGCAATCAGCCACCTCCATCACAGCCACCAAATTCAGGTGCTTCTCTTGAGGAAATTGTTAAAAATCTTGCTATTAACACTCAACAGTTTCAGCAGGAAACAAGGGCTAGCATCAAAGACTTGGAAAACTAAGTTAGCCAACTTGCCAATGGTGTGAGTAGATTGGATGCTCAAAATGCTGGAAAGTTACCCTCACAAACGGTCATAAATCCCAAAGAGAATGTTTGTGCAATGATATTAGGAAGTGGGAAAGAACTTCAAGAAAGTCCACATTCACCAGTGAAAGAGGCCGTGTAGAAAAAAATGGAAGAAATCAACAAAGAATCTCCCAAAAATTCAGCTGAGGTAAAACTAAAACCTTCATGGCTTAATACTTATTATAAACCTATTCCTCCATTTCCTAGTAGCTTGATGGAAGATTAAAAGGCCGAACTTGAAGAAGGGACGTTGAACACTTTCAAAAAGGTGATGATCAACATTCCATTGTTGGAATCTATTAAGGAGATTCCCAAGTATGCAAAGTTTCTGAAACAATGGTGCACTAAGAAGAAGAAATTAAAAGATAAGGGAAATGTAGTAGTAAATGAAAATGTTTCTTCTATCGTACAAAGAAAATTACCAGAAAAATGCTCTGATCCAGGTATGTTTACAATTTCATCCATTATTGGTGATAAAAAAGTTGACTTTGGTATGATAGACTTAGGAGCATCTATTAATGTTATGTCATTTTCCCTTTACAATGCTCTAAATTTGGGACCACTAAAAAAAACAAATGTGGTTATTCAACTTGCTGATGGTTCGCATGTTTATCTAGAAGGGATTTTAGAAGATGTTTTAGTGCAAGTTGATGAATTAGTTTTTCCTACAGTTTTTTACATTGTAAAAATGGAAAATGGCCATGCAAGTTCAACTTCAATTCTGTTAGGAAGGCCATTCATGAAAACAGCAAAAACTAGAATTGATGTAGATAAAGGCATTATATCTGTGGAATGTGATGGGGATATGGTAGAATTCAGTATTTCCAAAGCATTAAAATTTTCTTATACTCCACATTCTTCTTGTGGTAATTATGTTCAGTTGATTGGTATAGGTTAATCAGGTTGAGCTAAGATGTCGAGCATAACGACATTAAACAATTGCACTTTGGGAGGCAACCCAAGTTTAAAGTTTCTTAAATTTTGATTTGGTTCAAATTTTGTTTGGTTTCATTTGTTTTCAGTTACTTTCATTAAAAAAAATAATTAGAAAAAATCGGAAAGGAAAAAGAAAAAATTTACTTTAGCATTTTCCTTTTGCTTATTTATCCTTTTTCTTTTGTTTTCAGGAGCTCATTTACTCTTGTGATGAATTCAAGCAACTACTCTTCACCATCCCCATCATTGGCGATTGCTTTCACATCATGAACCACGTAGCTGCTTGTGGTATCAACTCCAAGTCTTCACATCTCAAAAGAAATTTTTTAGGGAGTTTCTAAATTCAAATCTCATGAGCTATTATCAATTCATTGATTGCTTTGCTGGCTATTTTACAAAGTAGTTGAGTTGCTCCTTGTTACATAAAGTTAAATGATGTTTGATTGGATAATTTTGCATGACTAAGTGCTACTATGTTTTTATCTTTTTCTAGCTCTGCATTTTTTCTATTTTGCACTTAAAAAATGTGTTTCCAAGCTCCTTGCTTACTTCTTCTTTGTGCCATTATGTTGTCTTACATTGAGGTCGATGTAAAAATTAGGTGTGGTGGCGGATTTTCTTGTTACTAAATGTTTTCAAAAACCCCTGCATTGGTTTTTCTGTCAAAATCTCCAATTTTTTCCAAAATATTTTGTCTCTCCTTATGTGGTAATTTGTCAAATTATTTCAAATAATTTTGAGCCAAAATGTTTTGTGTATCCCATTGGTTTTAATGGTTAAGAGTGTACCGGAGTTATTACAAATTTACCTTTTCCGTGAGTTTCCATAGCCAAAGAGCTCACTTGCTCAATTTTTTAGGGTTATCATTCATAGTATGTTATTACACTGGTTTGCTCATGTCATACATTTCATAACTGCATTGGTGAATTTATGCAATAAATGATAACGGCATTTAGGTTTCGCCAAGCTTAGTTATCGCAAAATCTCTACCTTAATTGTTTACCCTTAGTAACCATTTTAATCATGGGCCTATTTTCGAGCTCCACCAATATAATCCTAAGCCTAATTTTTAGCTATCTTTTCACCTGTTATTCGGAGTATGTATGATCACTACTTGATTTTGGTTTGTGAAAAGTAGTTGTGCGGTGGCAATTTTGGTATGGTAGGTTTAGCATGATTGGTTATGTATTCTTGTTTTATGTCCAATAATGTTTTAGCTCTATATATCCAAAAAGTCAGGACAGTGCCGAAAAGAAACTAAGAGGAAAAAAAATGAATTAAAAGCAAAACGCTAAAAAAAGGGAAAGAAAAAAAAGAAAAAAAAAGGCACTAGTTTCTGTTTTATGTGCATTCAGGTATTTGTTATAAGCTTCGGCTTAGTTTCTGTTTTAAGAAGAAAAAAAACAGAAAAATAAAAATAAAAACAAAAATAAAGGGAGTTTGGTGTTTACAACTTTTGAATATGTTTTAGAACACCATAACTTCATGAGCAGTTATCAAAAGTCTTAGTGACTTATGTTTTATGTAATAGTTGTTTTGTTATATTGAGATTTGGTTTGTAATAGTATACCACTGTTGCCATCGTATGGGTCATCTGGAATGACGGTGAAAATTGAGTATGTGATCTACATATTGTCGGTAACTTAGTCTACTTATCCATATGTGTCCTACCCTTTGAAATTCCCTAGCCCCGTTACAACCCTATGAAAGAACGTTTTGATGTTGCATGATTGTTCATTTAGTGCTAAGAGGATTTGATACATGACAAACTAATGCATGCTATGTTTATGATTGAGTGCTTATTTATAAATATCCCTTTCTTTTGAGTGCTTATTTGTGAGGCATTAAAGTTTGGTACATACTGACAATGCTATTAAATTTTGATAGGTACACATGTTTTCAAAACGATGAGTGATATTTTTGGTTTTGCAAACTATTTGCCTTTGCTAAATTTTTAAAATGCTGATTTTTCTTTTTAAAAAGATTTCAGTATGCTTGAGAGCAAGCATAGTTTTGGTGTGGGGGAATTTGATAGTTATAATAGAATTCATTTTATTATAATCTTATAAGCCTATTCTGAACATTATATTTTGAAGATTATTAATGAATTTTATTATTATTTTATTTTAGGTAATAAAAAGTGGAAGATGGATTTTTTTTATTTCTACGATAAGATTTACTGCTTTACGGAGTTTTACAAAGATGAAAGCTTGAATCAAAGGGGCTGATTTCCTGCAAAGATGTTTGTTTTGATAAGAGTTTCACCAAGTCAAAGACAACTCAACCTTAACTCCCCAAATCTTTGACTAATTTAGTGGGTGAAAAAAAAAATTCCTACAAAAACATCTACTTCATAGATAGGATCAGATGGAATTTGTTGAATCCTATTGTTTAGATATTCAGTTTGGGCAAACCATTATAAATAAGGCCATTATGAAAATGCAAAACGAATCCCCTAAGCTTTGGAATAGCCAAGCTATTTCCCTTCTTCCTCATTTTCATTTGTGTTCAAGGCTTTTAGCCTTATTTTAATTTTTTTATTTTCTTTTAAAACTTAAAGAATGTTTTTAGTCATTATGAGTGGCTAGTTTTTTTTTGTTTTGGTTCAAGAATTTATTCATTTATATTATATGTGAGACTACAAGTTTCACTTTATTTTTTTCTACTTTTAATTCAAGTACCTATTGATTTTGATTTCTTTTTATGAGAGTAGATACTTGATTAATCTGATAATTTAATCAAGTATTTTCTTCTTACTGCTACCAAATTATTTATACTGCTCGTCTAAAACATTTGGCACTAAGTAGCACATTAGCAGATTATGCATGTTGGTAGTAACACGTTGAATATGCATGATTAGTCTAACTAGGGGATCAATAGGACAAAAACTTTTTAATTGCAGCTATTTCAATTATTTGTGTTTTTGGTTCAACTAAATTTTCAAAGTTTTTACTGCTAGTATAATTTAATATAGAATGCTATCGTGTCCAGTTAAATTATACTATGTTTTGATTAGGTGCTGGGCTTGGTCAAATATTTTTGGAAAATATAAGACTTCTTACGGCTATCCTATTAAGTCTACGGTTGAATGCTTGAGTCGTAGAAAAATAATTTTTTTAATCGATGATCTATAATATATTTGAATCATTCCTTGAACAAAAGTTTTTCTATAATTTATTTTCTCTCTATTTTTATTTACTTTAATTTTGTCATTTTTATTTTAAAGAAAGAAAAAATCCCCCCATTTTGTTATTTTTATAAAATCAAGAGTTGAAATTCGGCTCTCTTGAGATTTGACCTGATTCCACTGTTTCTACAAATTAATTTTTGGTATGTCTGGAATTCAGATTAATTTTTTGCGGGTCTCGACAAACCCGTCAGGAACCATACCCCGGCCAAGCATAATTGATCCACCGCCGCCGGTAGACAACAAATCTGCTAAAAGGCCCAAGTTCGGAGGAGATAAGGGCGCCACCCCGTCCCCCATGAGCTTCAGGGACGAGATCATGATAGGTCTTGACTACTCACTGTTTGACGTGTATGACAAATGGGAGATTTGGGATGATGACGTGATCTTATCAAAGGAAGGTTCGAAGGCTAAGATTATTGTTTCAGACCGGATGGAGAAGCTCCTAACACACCAGTGGTAGGATATGATTGTGCTCAGAAGTCAGACCTATGGGTAAATTTTTCACTGCAAACGTTATGCCACAGATTGCCGGATTTGTGGCAAATTACAAATTGTATCGCGACAGATTGCCAGATTTGTGGCAAATAACAAATTGTATCGCCATCATGGATCAAGTGCGTGATTACTTTTTAGTGAAATTCAGAAGCAAGGAGGACATGTACCGGGTGTTAAATGAAGGCCCTTGGGTGATTCTAAATACGTACTTACATGTGCAGCCATGGGACAGTTCATTTGATGCCGGCACCACAATGGTCAAATCAACGATTGTGTGGGCAAAGCTACCCGGCCTACAGGTACACTACTACAATTGAGCTTTCCTAAAGAAAATATGTAAGGCCCTGGGCAGAGTAGTGAGAATAGACAGGCAAACAACAGCAAGCACAAGTGGAAGATTTGCCAGATTTGCCGTTGAAATCGAGCAGGATAAGCCGTTGGTTTCACAGTTGGAATTTCGTGACATGGTACAGAAAGTGGAGTATGAAAACGTGCCACCCCTCTGTGCTGCGTGTAATCGGGTGGGTCATCAAGCCGGAACATGCCTATGCCCCGTCAAAAACGCCGGATCTGGTGAACCCACAAGGAGGAGGTGCCTGAACGACAGTGCAACCATCAGCTCCGACGAAGAGCACGAAATCCGACAAAATGGCAAACGTCCCAGGGGAGTGGGTCCCAGTTCCAGCAAGAAGTAGGCCCAAGGCAACTATCGATACCCCTCCCGTGGATAATACAGCCAATTTTGACTTTGCATCGCCGTCGATGTTTGACGTGCTAAAGGGATTGCACGAAGATGGCCATGTGATACCGCATAAGTCCACCGATTGTGATACCGCATAAGTCCACCGATTATGATGAGAAGGAACCGAAAAACGGCAAAGGGAAAGGAGTGGAAAATAGTGTGCAGCATATATGGACTTCCAGAGGGGAGTGGGTTTCTCTCTCTAGGCAGCTAGTGGAGAGTGGTTTCTACGTTTTTCTTTTTTACTTTTAGCACTCTTTAATGGTGTGAATGATGTTTCCAATCTAGTTTTAAAGCTTTTTCAGTTCATTTTATTTTTAATTGCTGTTATCTCACTTTCTTTTATCCATCGCATAACTTCACTTTTTTATCTTCTAAAAACACAAACCCCTCTTTTTTCCTGTCTCTATTTTTTCTTCCTTTTCTGAATAGAGTTCCTAGGGTCTCATCACTAATGGAAGATACGGTCAATCGTTTTGAGAAATTTAGACTCACTGAAGAAGAGAAGGGTTTTGTAATTGGTAAAGGGGATGTGGCAAGGAGAAGGGAGGAATGTGAACGAAGTATTTTGGGGAAGATTTATGGGGTTAATACAGCAAACTTCTTTGGGTAAGGAATCAATTTTCGAAGATCTGGAGTCCTACAGGGAGATTGACGGTGGCAGAGTTAGGAGAAAATTTTTTTCAATTTACTTTTCCAGATCTAAAGGAAAGGGACCGAGTGTTATCAGGGGGACCATGGTTCTTTAAGGAGCAATTGATGGTGATACATCCATGGGCTAAGAAATTAGAAGAGGATAAAGCAAAGTTCGACCGGGCAAACATGTGGGTTCAAGTTCAGGGTCTCCCAAGTCACTGGGTCTCAAAGGAGGTTGGCTGGAAGCTAGGTAAGCTCTTCCCCAATTGTTCTAATGTCTTAATTCCAGAAAGTGGCAGTAAGTGTGGTAGAATTATTAAAATTTATGTAGAAGTGGAACTGAATAAGCAGCTTGTGAGGGGTACTAAGTTAACACTTGAGGGTGAAACTCGGTGGTTGCAATTTAGCTATGACAATCTACCTCTTTATTGTTATTATTGTGGTCATGTTGGGCATATTGAAAAGCAGTGTGAGACAAAGAAGGAGGATGCAAAAAGAGGTACAATTGATGAGGAACAATTTGGGGATTGGTTATCTGCGCGAAAACTAAAAATGGAGATTAAGAATGTCGAAGATAGAGGAATGAGGGATAGGTATTATGGAAAGTTTGTGCCAGTGGGGAAGGAAAGTCTGGATCAAAATCAACAGGAGGATCAATGGAAAGGAGGAAGAGTTGGTGATAGTAGTTCATGGGTGGAGTCGGGAGGGCAGAAAGTAATTAAAGATGCTAGTGGAGACAGTTTGAGTGACAACCCTGTCGACAGGGAGGCGAATGTAAAGGGTCATGCACAAATGGCACCTCAGTGGCAGGAAAGGTTTTTGGGAGTGAGAGAAATCAATTCCGAAGCAGATGCTAAAGTGGTAGTGGACGAAATTACAGATCATCTATGGCAGGGCAGTAATAAGGAAAAAGAGGGGTGTTTATTGGTAGATAATCATAAGGAACTGGACGGGGGAAAACGGTGGAGGAGGAGAGGCATAGGTGGGAAAGGGGAGAGTCAACCTATGGAGGAAGGAAACATCATGCCAGGAAACAATGAAAGTAGGAAAAGGGGTGGTGTTAGCACAGATGTGGAGTTGCAGGAGTCTGTGATCAAGAAAGGGAAGGTGGAAGAGACACTGTCTAACGAATGTGCATTGGTGGGGGTAGCCAGCCATAATTGGCCCCACTGTTTTAAATGAAGATATGCTCGTGGAATTGTAGAGGGTTGGGAGGTCCCTCTACAATTTCTCAATTGAAAGAGTCTGTAAGGCTCTACCTTCCAGATGTTGTTTTTTTATGTGAGACGAAGCAACATAAGGGTTTTGTTGGGACAGTTTATAGGCAGTTGAAATACAGGGAGAACTGGTTCGTTCAGAATCCAGTGGGAAAACGAGGAGGACTGCTGGTATGTTGGCGTGATAATCTGGAGATTAAACAAGTTGTGTCTTCTTATTTTAGCATTGAGTTAGAAGTTTTTAATGGTAGTTTGGGGCTGGTGATGTGGTTGGTTTTTGTCTATGCGAGTACTGATCTGATCGAGAGGAAAAGACAATGGGATTATCTTGTATATAGGAAGTCTTTTTGGGGGGATTTTTGGTTGGTTGGGGGTGACTTCAACGACATTAGAGACCCATCAGAAAAGAAGGGTGGTAGAGTAAGACCTGAAGGCAGTTGTACTGGTTTTAGATCGTTTATTGATGACATGGGTATGGGAGAGGTGAATTTTAGGGGAGAGCCTTTCACTTGGGCAAATAATCGAGAGGGCGAAGGTTTTGTGCAAGAGAGATTGGATAGGTTCTTTTGTTCTCCTGAATTGATGGTTAGCTTTGATAAAATGGTGGTATTCCATGTAGTAAGGCAATCGTCAGATCATGCCTTAGTTTTGCTTGATACCTCGCCTGAGATGGTCAAAACTAAGAAAAGGTTTATCTTTGAGTCCCACTGGATAAATGAGGACGGCTGTCCAGGGGTGATAAGGGCTGCTTTCGAGAAGGACGTTGTAGGGGGATCAATGTATAGATTCCAGGAAAAACTCAAGGAGTGTAAACATGGCCTAATCTCATGGAGAAAATGTACTAATATGAATGCACAAAGCCAAATAAAAGCACTGACTACGGAAATGGAGGCTATGCAGCAACAAGGGGCTGATAGAGATTGGCAACGATTTCATGCCCTGCAACTAAGATTAAATGCAGCCTACAAGCGAGAGGAGGAGTATTGGTGTAGAAAATCCAGAATTCAATGGTTAAAGGAAGGGGACAAGAATACCAAATTCTTCTATGCAGTGACATCAGAGAGGAGAAAGCGGAATTGTATAGAGAAGTTAGTTAGTGGAGCAGGGATTGAGGTGGTGGGCGAAAAGGCGATTGGTGATGAGATTGCTGGGTATTTCACTAAACTTTTCAAATCCTCTGAACCTGCGAATTGTGATGAGATCCTTGGCGAAATTCCCTGTTCAGTAACGGATTCCATGAATAGAGACTTGACAAGAGAGGTGAGGGATGAAGAAATTAAAAAGGCGATTTTTTCCATGCATCCACACAAAGCTCCAGGCCCAGACGGTATGACCCCTCTTTTTTATCAAAAAAACTGGGACCTGATAAAAAATGATTTGTTTCAAGCTGTTAAAGGTTTTTTCCATGCCAATTCTATGTTGTCTGTTTTCAATCATACTTTTGTGTCTTTGATTCCGAAAGTAAAACATCCAAAAACAGTAGCTGATTTTAGACCTATTAGTTTATGTAATGTGGTGTATAAAATTATTTCTAAAATACTTGCTGAAAGGTTGAAACCACTCTTAGCTCGTTGCATTAGTCAGAGTCAAGCTGCTTTTATTCCCGAAAGACAAATTCTTGATAATGTGATCATTGCACATGAGTGTTTTCATTTTCTGAAAAATTTGAGAACTAGACAGGATAGTTTTTTTGCTCTCAAACTTGACATGTCTAAAGCTTATGACAGAGTAGAATGGACTTTTATTGAGAATGTTATGAGAAGGATGGGATTTAATACAAAATTTCTGGGTTGGGTGATGACTTGTGTGGAAACAGCTTCTTTTTCATTTCTAGTCAATGGTGCTCCACAAAATTTTGTTAAACCCTCACGAGGCATTAGACAGGGCGATCCTTTGTCTCCCTATTTATTTTTGATTGTATCTGAAGGACTGTCAAGTCTTATTCGGGTAGCTGTTCGTAGAGGAGTGTTAAATGGTATGAAAATTAGTAGAGCTAGTCCTATGATTACCCATCTGTTTTTTGCTGATGACTCTATTCTATTTTGTAAGGCAGAGAGTAGACATGCTTTCTGTATAAGAGAGTTGTTACAGGTGTATGAGCAATGCTCAGGGCAAAAAATCAATATGGAGAAGTCTGCCATCTTTTTCAGCAAAAATACACAGAGTTCTACGAAGGTCACAATTCGTCAAATATTGATGGGAGTTTCAGAGCAAGTGAATTGCAAGTATCTTGGGTTGCCTGTGGTGGTTGGTAGATCCAAGAAACAGGTCTTCAATTTTGTGAAAGAAAGGGTTTTACAGAGGATGAAGAACTGGAAATCCACATTTCTAAGCAAAGCAGGCAAGGAGGTACTGTTGAAATCTGTTGTTATGTCATTGCCTGTATATTGTATGTCGTGTTTTAAACTGCCTAAAGGCTTGTGTAAAGAAATTGCTGGTTTAGCTGCTGAGTTTTGGTGGCGTAGTGGTGAGAAGGAAAATAAGTTGCACTGGTTGTCGTGGAGGAAATTGACGAATCTTAGGGAGGATGGAGGGCTGGGGTTTAGGGATTTAGAAGCTTTTAATGATGCTTTGCTGGGCAAACAAATTTGGAGGCTCATTACTAGACCTAATCTGCTGGTGTCTAGAGTTTTGAAGGGGAAGTATTTCCCGAATGCAAGTGTTCTATATACTGAACCTAAATCTGGGGATTCTTGGCTGTGGAAGGGATTATGTGCTGCAAAAAGGGTAGTGATAGAAGGAAGTAGATGGCAAGTGGGAGATGGCAGATGTATTAGAATATGGGATGACAACTGGCTGCCTTCTGAAATCATAAAAAAACCCTTTTCGGCTAAGCCAATAGGTTGTCCATCGGTGTTAGTAAGAGATCTTATCTGTGTTAGCACTGCTGGTTGGGATCTGGAGGTATTACAGCAGTTGTTCACGCCAGAGGAGGTTCATTTGATTCTGTCTATTCCACTCAGTGTAACAGGAGCAAGGGATAGATTGGGGTGGAAGGCTGAAAAAGACGGGGTCTATTCAGTGAATTCAGCATATAGGATTGCAAAAAATATGCTGGACAATGGGTATGATAGAGGGGAAAGTAGTAGTGCAGCTGTGAGGGACAAATTAATTTGGAAGGGTATTTGGAAACTCAAAGTAAAGGGTAAGGTGCAACATTTTCTTTGGAGCTGCTGTAACAACACTTTAGCAGTAGGAAGTAACCTTCTAAGTAGAGGCATCCCTATTGATCCAAGGTGCAAGTTGTGTGGGGAGGAGTTGGAATCTGAAGAACATCTCTTCCTCCTTTGTCCAGCAGTGAAGCATATATGGGAACTAGCCCCAGTGAAGTGGGATGGCTTGGACGCTTATACATATTCTTTTAAGGAATGGTGTTTTCATATGATGAAAGTGGGCAGTACTTGTGAAGGACAGAGAAGAATCCAGTTTTCTGTATTCTTGTTATGGAATATATGGAAATGGAGAAATAATTGGCTGTTCAATACTCAGTTTCTTTCACAATGGGAGGTAGTCAATAAGGCAATGGAGGAATGGTTGGAATATGAAGCTCACTGCCAGGTTCTTCCCAGTCAGATTCATCACACTAGAGTACAACAACAATTGCAGTGGAGTAAACCAGCAGAGGGGGTGATCAAATTAAATGTAAGTGCTTTATTTCAACAGTATACAGGTATAACTGGAGTAGGTATTGTCGCTAGAGATTGTAGAGGCAGTCTTCTGCAAGTTTGGGCAGTCGCTAGGGATCGTCTTCAAAATCCAGTGGTGGCAACCTTAGATGCAGTTCGAGTGGCTCTAATTTTTGCACAAATGAATTTGTGGAAGAATGTACAGGTGGAGTTAGAGGTTAAGAATTTGGTGGACTGTCTTAATGATAAAAGGTGTCCGGTACCCGAAGCGTTAATCATAGTTGAAGATATTTACGTTTTGGAATCTTTTTTTCTTGCTTGTAACTATTCTGTTGGTCATAGATGTTGTAACAGAACTTCTTTCAGATTAGGAGAATTTATTTTGGAGGGAAATGCCCCTTGGAGCTGGAAGGAAAACTTCCCCCTTTGACTACTCGAGGTAGCATGTACAGACACAGGATCATTTGATCCTATTTTGGCATGATGTCAATATAACTTTGCTGATTACTGGTAAAAAAAAAAAAAAAAAGAAAATAGTGTGCAGCACTCTGTCCTAGGCACTAGGAAAGTGAGTGCACGAGTGAAAAAGTCAATAGGGACAGAAGGGAAGTCAACGGAGAAGACAAGCAACAACCACAGTAAACCAAAGTCATTAAAAACCAACCCTACCCATGCCAAGACCGATAAACCACCGATAATTTACAATACCCCTGGCCCAATTAGTCACCCATCTGCCCCCTCTGGCCCAAATACAAAACCATCAACAACATTAAAGTCCAATCTAGTCACCAAAAAGCCTAACCTTGTTACCAAAATGCCCAACCCAGAACAAAAGCCTTACCTTGGCCCAACTGTAGTCCCAAGCCCATCCTCCCTTAACCCATCCAAACACTTCGCCATAAAAATCAAAACAAAACGTCCTTTAACCAGTAGCAGCGTTGATGATAATCCTGCAATTGGGATAGATGAGGTGACTGATGATATAGCCATGATTGAATAAGTAGATCCGCGGACTTGTCAGAAAGAGAGTTAATGGAAATACTGGAACAGCCGCGGCCTGAAGGAGAGGGACCGCCGATGGACTGTTTAATTAGGGTGTTTCTTCCTCCATAAATAATAGTTTCCTACGAATACAACTATTATTTCATGGAATGTGCAAGGCGCACAGTCAAAAAACTTTAAAAAGTCGTTTGATTTGATGGTAGATGTGAATAAACCAGATTTAGTGGCGGTACTTGAACCGAGAATAAGTGGACTGAATGCGGATGAGTTTCTCGAAAAAAGGCGGTTTGATCGGTCTTTCAGAGTGGAAGCAAAAGGAATTTCGGGTGGTATCTGCCTTATTTGGAATGAGACGATAGAAGTTGAAATACTAGAATGTCATCGCCAATACATTCATACTAGAATTTGGAGAGGATCGGAAAGCTTCCTCACCACGTTCGTGTATGCAAGCCCAACACAAAGTATTCGGCGGGCGTTATGGCCGGAACTTCGACGAATTTCAGAAGGAGTGCAAGAACCATGGCTGTTGGGGGGAGACCTCAATTTCACCCTGAGATCATCGGAGAAGAGAGGAGGTTCTCCAAACAATGGGGGTCCCTGTAGTTGGTTTATGGATTGGGTTATGCAATCAGGTATGCAAGAACTCCCATCGATCGGGTCCAAATACACGTGGAAGAGAGGAAATCTACTTAAGAAGTTGGACAGATTTTTTAGCAATGACTCATGGCAGAGTCTTTATCCTGAAGCAGTTTCTATTCATCTTTCACGAATTCATTCGGATCACAACCCCATCATGATTCGGTGCAAGTGACAAGCGGGGGGAGTGGACGAGGCAGAAACCCTTCAAGTTTTTGGCAGCTTGGCTGCTTCATCAAGATTTTGATGTCGTGGGGAAGGAACATTGGAAGCCGGCGGAGAATTTTGTGGAGGTGGAGGGGAATTTTGCAACTGGGGTGACGAAATGGAATAATGTGTCATTCGGAAATATTTTTAGAAGAAAAAGAAGAGCACTTGCACGACTTGGAGGAATCCAGAGAGCGAAAGAAAATTACACATCTAAGAAGCTTGAGCGGTTGGAGGTGGAGATATCGAAAGAGCTTGATGATATTTTGGCCCAAGAGGAGCTTCTCCTGATGCAAAAATCAAACAGGGAGTGGGTTTTACATGGCGATAAGAACTCCAAGTTCTATCACTCGTTTGTGCGGAGAAGGATACAGAGAAATTGGATCAATGCCACAAAAAACGATGAAGGGAAATTAGTCGAGAGCCAGGAGGAATTGCAGGAGATTGCCACAAATTACTTCAACGAACTTTATGCAGCACCAGTGATGGCACCTGTGGAGTATGGTGTGAGGGACTGTTTTCCGCCAATTCAACCGACCGATGTGGATAATATGGCAAGACCGGTGGAGGAGGAGGAGATAGCAGCCACATTGAAGGAAATACATCCCTTGAAGGCCCATGAAATTGACGGGTTGCACGCACTTTTCTTACAAAAGAAATGGGCAACCGTCAAAAATTCTGTTTGCACATTGATCTAGGAAGTCATGAATAACGAAGCTAGTGTGGAGAGTATTAATAAAACATTAATTGTGCTAATCCCGAAAGTCATGCATCCAGATTCAATTCGGCAATTTTGGCCGATTAGCCTCTGTAACGTGATTTATAAATTAATCACCAAGATTATTGCTAATCGAATTAAGTCTGCTTTACTAGGTATCATAGGTCCAACACAAGTCAGCTTTGTACCGGGTCGACTCATCTTAGACAATATCATTGCTGCGCAAGAGGCTATCCATTCAATGCACATAAAGAAAGGCAAGAAGGGCTTTATGGCAGTGAAGCTGGATCTAGAAAAAGCCTACAATATGATCAAATGGGATTTTGTGAAGGACACTTTGATTCAAGCTGGCTTCCCAATGATGATTGTGGAGAGTATTATGAGGTGCTTAACATCAGCCACCATGCAAATCCAGTGGAACGGAGTAACAATGGAGGAATTTCGGCCCACACGCGGAATCTGACAAGGAGACCCAATTTCCCCATACCTCTTCGTGCTCTGTGTTGAAAGGTTAGCCGACGCTATTTTGCAAGAAGTGAACAATGGTGATTGGAAGCTTCTCTGCTTCAGTCGTTCAAAGTTCAAGTTGTCGTTCCATTTATTTGCGGGTGATATCATCCTATTTTTGGAAGCCGCAGATCACCAGGTTGATTTGATGAAGTCGGTTCTGAATTCTTTCTGTGAAGCCTCAGGGATGCAATTCAGCGAACGAAAAACCCGAGTTTTTTTCTCAAATAATGTAGAGCGGCAACAAAAATTATGTTTGGCAAGGCGTATGGGTTTGTTGCAAGTCAACAATCTTGGAAAATACTTGGGTACACCATTAATACATAGAAAGCTAACTAGAAGAACCTTTGAGGGAATCATGGACAAGGTTCGATCAAATATTGCAGGATTTAATGCGGTGAAGTTTTCTCTAGCCGGCACAACGACGTTAATCAAGTTGGTTCTGTCCACACCCCCGTTCTTCAATATGCAAACGGTGATGCTACCATCAAGAACGTGCCAAGAGATTGAGAAGCTATGTAGAAGCTTTCTCTGGGGAGGCGGCGAAGACAGGAAAACACTTGAGTTTGGTAAATTGGCACGACGTGTGTTTAAGCAAAGACATGGGTGGACTTGGAATAAAAAAGAAGAGATCAATGAACAAGGCCTTCCTCATGAAGTTGGGTTGGGCCTTACTAAATCAGCCAGAGTTGATGTGAGTTAAACTTTTCAGGGCAAAATATGGCGGTTTTGGGCTTCCCTGGTTTAGGCCACTAACTCCAGCCAATAGGTGTATGATATGCAGGTCAATCGCAAAAATTTGGGATCCTCTTCTGAAAGGCATCCACTAGGTCTTGAACGATGCGCAGCTAGTGAGATTTTGGAAGGATCCGTGGACTTTAGGGTCCAAACCCTTGGAGAAGGCACCGATAGGCGAAACCCCAAAAGAACAGCTGAATAAGAAGGTGATTGATTTCGTCAACACAGATGGAAGTTGGGACTGGCCCCTATTCCAACATCGAATTCTTGCAAGCGAGTTGATGAATGTGGCAGCAACGTTGCCGCTGGACCTGAGGAGAGGAAGTGATATATGGTGCTGGCTGTCATCAGGAAACCGAATGTTTACCATGAAATCAGCGTACGGAGTGGTGGAGGAGGAGAGTGGAACAAGGAGAACTCCGATTTGGAGAGCGATTTGGACATGGCCGGGACCTGAGAGGGTGAAAAAGTGCCTTTCGCTGGCTGCGGAGGGTCGACTAATGACTAATTAGGAAAGGAATCGAAGACATATTAGCCCTACAGCTACTTGTCCCAGGTGTGTGATGACATAAAAATATATACCCTTTTAGCAGGCATTTCTTACTCATTTCTACTTATAATTTAGTGTCAATTAGTTAGGATTAGTTTACTATTGGGGTGATATTGTAGTTCAGGTATCTCAGAGGGCCAATGTGGAAAATTAGCATAAATGAGGGCCAAATTCCACAAAAAGGCATCCGAAAGGACTAGAATTGAAGCTACTGGAAATTGGGCTGTTGGAAGCTCGATCAGAGCTGAGCAAGTGGAGAAATCCTTGTTGAGGAAGGTAAAATGGCAGTAGATGATCACAACTTGGGAAGAATCTGCTGCATCACACTCAATCAAGAGGAAGAAGGGCAGCTACCCTGCTACCAGATTGCTGCTGCAGTAGCTGTTGCTGCTGTCAATCAAGGAGAAGCCACGAGCTGAAATCTTGGTGACCAACGAAGGAAATTGCTTTGCCATCACTGCAAGTTGTTGCTATTGCAAGTTGAAGAAGAGAAAGAGGGAGAATATGTGATAAACATCAGCTGCAACTCTGCTACTTACCAACTAATGCTGCTATTGAATTGATGGATTGGCTGCTGTAGAAGGGCGAACAATGGCATAGCAACTAACCCTGGAAACAAGGAAGAAAAAGGCAGAAGATTCAGGCTGAATTGGGGGCAGGAAACACAATGATGGAAGGAAGCATGCTTCTAATGCTGCTGTTTACTGACTGCTGAAATTGAGCTGTGGAGAATAACAAATGAAGAAATGGAGATTTGTGGCTGCAAATGGTGAGAAGGTGCAGGAGAAGAAGACTAAGGAGAAGCAGCAATGATGAGTAGAAGATGGCTTATTGCGACTGAAGAAGGAAGGAGCTAACCAGAGAAGGCAAGTTGCTGCATAAACAATTATCTTTGGCTGCTGCAACTTGCTGTTTCCTCTGCCTTCTGCAGGGAAAGCCAAAACACCACCAATCCAAGCCTCTTCAAATCTCTACAAATAGCCAGCCAATAGCAGTAGGAAAAACAACAGATTGGGTAGTTAGATTTAGCTACAAAGACAGTGGTTAGGTAGTTAGTTAGTAGGTTAGAAACAGGGTAGTAGCAGGAACAAGGAGGCAGATTGTCACTTTTGTCAAGTGGCGAACCCCACTCGCCATAGTGAGCAGAAAGAAACTGTCCCTGCTACCATCTTCCCTTTCTTTCCTCTAACCATTTGATCTAGATTCATGTCTTATATTTTGTACTCTTTTTCTCTCATGTTTAACTCAATAAGTATGAGTAGCTAACTCAGTTAAGGGTTCAATCGCTACTACCTTTATGTGAAGGTTTTGATTCTGTTTCCTTGATGAGGTGTTGTGCCTAGATAAATGATTTAATTAATCTTTTAATTGACTTGGCCACTTAATTAAATGTATTTGCATGGTTATGAAGATCTGGAAGGGGGTGCATAAACTTAGAACGACTTAATTGAAGCGGGGTATTTTAGGTTATTAAAATATGTGCAATTCAAGAACAAAATAACCTAATACCACTCAACTTAAACGCAAGGATACGTTTTGGGTTGTAGTAGTGGTAGAAGGGTCGATCCCACGAGGAGTCGGAGTTTACAATGTTGGTTAGAGTGAAGTTGAAATTTCCTATTACTTTAAATTACACTAAACACAAAATGGAGGTAATAAGGAGAAAGAGTTACAGTTTTCAAAAGTCTTATAAGAAAATTATACTAGAATACTACGATAAACTCGCCAAATAAACGAAATATGGAGCTTAAACTATAAATGAAAATTGAGAGAAAACAATTAACACAACAATAGACAAGGTGGAAGTAACTCCTAAGATATGAGTAGGGTGGTTTTAACTACTTTAATCCATGTCAATTGACGTTAAGATCATGTTAACGAAGGAATGATGTTTATTTTTCACTCTAAGTGCTATTCCTAGTTCCTAGAATCATATGACTAACTCCCTATGCCTAGGTGACTTAGCCAATTTAATTAACCCAATTATAATTAACCCAATTAACATTCTTTATTCACCCTTTCAACCTATTTATGCCTAAATGAGGTTTAATGGAGTTCCAGTAACAAATTCATGCTCTCTTGAAGATAAAGAGTCATTCAAGAGAGTTTAATAACACGCCATTTAAATGATCAATTCAAAGAACATGCATCTCCTATACTAACCTTGTTAATGGACTTAATAAACACAACCCATAACAATAATCAACATGGATATAGGAAATCTCAACCACCCGTCCTCAATCTTAGGAGTTTAAGAAGATTTAGCTACTCATTATCAAAGAAAAACCATCTAAGATTAACAATAAACAAGACATTGGAATTGGATAAAGAGGAGAGATGTTACCACTTTTCTTTCAAGGTGGAGAATCACCACAATCCAACAAAAACACCCACCCTATATTCCTCCATAGCTAATCTTGAATTTTTGCTCCAAAATAGTGTACAAAATGAACTAATCTAGTCTAATTTGAAGCTAAGATCATGAAAACCCTAGAACACTAAGCTTAGAGTGAGTTTTGAGTGTCAAAAAGTCCCAAATCCATTTGCAAAGTATCAATTTATAACCATTGACATCGTGGGGACCAAAGTGGATAAGTGGGAAAATATAAGGACTGAAATGTATAAGAGTCATGGGTCCATTCGGCCTTAACTTCCGGGCCACTTTTTGTTCAGCTTTTCTTTTCCAGCAAACAGGGGCTCTTCTGTGCAAATCCGACGGGAAGGGAGGGTTAAGTTTGCAATTGTTTGAAAATTTCTTTCTTCCCCCGTTTGAAATCACCGGCGGCACCGGAATCCCCTCGCCAGTTGTCGATCGGAGCTCTGTCGTTTCTTCATGGAAATGGACAAACCATATACCAAAATGCTCCCCAAGATCTCCTCTATAACTATGATGGTTTCGTTCAGGCTGTAATTTGAGTTTCCAGGTCGAATTCAAGGAGTTATAGAGCTGCATCCAAGGTGCTTGTTGAATTGCTTCATTTCCAGCCAGAGTGAGTATTTTCTTTGGCAGTTTTCTCCTCTGTAGATTTACAATTTGGGGATAATTTCTTCATAAAAGTTGTAGATATTTCCTTAGCTTTGAATTGGTACCTTGAACACTGAAATTGGAGTTGTGGATCGAGAGTTATGGCCTCTGACAGTTGGATGACTTTTCCTGAAAATCTGCAAATTTTCTAAACAGATCTGATGACTGAAATTCATTTTCGTTTTTGACCATTGTATCATCTGAATTACGAGAATTAACCTTCATGAAAGTCGTAGCTCTCTCTTTCAGCTTCGTAACGGTATAAAGAACTTCCAATTTTGATCTCTGAAGATCAAGTTATGCTCTCTGCAATTTGACTGATTGTTGCTGAAGTTCTGAAGATTTAAGGGTTCAGTTATGACAGCTGAGACTTCAACTACAATTTTTGATCATTAAAACGCATGAATTTGAAGAAGTGCTCTGCATGAGAGTTGTAGTTCCCACTCTGAGCTTCATAGGTGTATTTTGTTGGTTCCAAACGGAGGCTTCTAGCTCAAGTTATGAGCCCTTCAATATGGACAATTCGCCGTTAATCAACACTTGTTGCACTTTTGGTCTTTTCATTGATATTTTTGCTCACTTTCCGGACCATTTTGAATGGATCACTTGTTCTACAATGGAAGACCACAAATCATAAGATATGCACATTTTTGCATGTTAACACCATACAATGAGTCTATATTTTAAGTAAAAGAGGTATGAAATCACATATATATTTGAGTCACATCATTAATCTAGTCTATACCAATGGAGGAAATCTACCCTACATTCCAGACATCAACGGAAGTTAGGTGAATGACATAGGTGATCATAAAGGTGAAGAACTCAATGGCTTAGATTAATGAATTACTCTGACTTGAAGATAGGTGATCTAGATAATCTAAGACTCTTTATTCTGTCTGGAAGGAATTATAAAGACACATAAGTGCCTGATCGAACAACTATCATACACTACAAGAATATTGAATCAAAACTGGATCATAATGGTAGGAAGGTGATTGACCCTTCTGCCTCTCCACTCTGTCAAGTGACTATTCTCACTCTCCCAAGTGACAATCTATTCAACTCATTTTGTTTCTTTTCTGCACTTTAATCAGATTTTGAGTGGTTGACAACCGTCTTTGTGGAACGATCCTGCTTACCACTAGCTACTAGTTTTAAGTAGGTTTATAAATATTTTTTTTGGAAGTGCTTCAACGACAAACCCCTGACCAAAAGTGGCGCCGTTGCCGGGGATGGCGTTAAAATCTGAATACTTTGTTCTGTTTTTGTTCCTTTTAGTTTTCTATTTTTAATCAAGTTCACTCACTCAAATCACAAATCTTGCTATTGTTACGTTTCGTGTTTTGATTACTGGTTTATGACTAGAAGCAATCAATCAGGAAAGCTAAGGTTTGATCCAAAAATTGAAATCACGGCAAGAATATCCAAAGCCTTGCAAAACAGAGAAGCTGCTGCTCATGTTCTTAAAGACCAGAAGCAGATGGAAGAGGTAGCAGCAGCTAATCAACCACAAGAAAGAGAGCTACAACCAGTTCCACCCAGACTGCTAAGAGATTATTTTGTACCCCAACAGGAGGAAGTTAAAAATCTAGTGGTATACAATAATGTTGCAGCAGAGAACTTTGAGCTCAAAACTCAAATGATTCAATGAGTGCAAGCTACTTGTCCTTTCTATGGGCTACCCAGTGTAGATCCAAATGAGCACATCAGGAAATTCCTGAGACTGTGCAACACCTTCAAGATTCAAGGTTTGTCCAAGGACGAGGTATATCTGAGATTGTTTCCATTCACATTGCAGGATTTAGCGGCAAAATAGTTGGACACTCTGCCCAACAATTCAATCAACTCATTGAATGGACTCAGATAGTCATTTATTACAAAATTCTTCCTACCTGTCAAAGCTGCTGCTCTAAGATCAGCCATCATGACTTTTC